CCTTGAGTGCCTTCTCTATGGCTCTCGGATTGAAGTTTAGCAATTTGTCCTAATATCTAGACTCAAAATGGTTTGGTAGAATCCCATCCAAAGAATTGAGCTCATTGCATGATCTTTACTTTGAATTGCAACTTACCAACTTTATGTTGGAGTCATGTAGTCTTACATACTCATGACCAAACTACATAATATTATTCCCCTCTATCTTTGATACGTGGAAATCTACCAAGTATTTCCCATCTGCAGTAATTCAGTTGCATACCGATATCATCACCAGGCATACATCATTGGCCCCTCAGCATATAGTTGGGAAAGTATTCATGAATTTTGTTGAAAATGTGCATGTGATTTTAAAAGTTCATGTTCACTGGAAAATTATTTCCATGAACTGGCCGGAATGAACCAGGGAAACCTTCTAGAAGCTTGGCAAAACTGGTATAGTCACTCCACAGTGCATCAAATGGGCATACGATTGCAAACCAACCTGTTGTTGGATGGTTAGGAGGACAGTTGTATCCTCAGTCCAGAAGGGTTCAAGTCCTGGTGCTCGCATTTATTCCTGAATTTATTTCAAGATTACCGGTGATATGCTTTCAGTGGGAGGAGATGTTCCCGTCGACGACGAGACGCTACGGTGACTTTGTAAATCTCAAGATGATATGCCGGCTTAGTGTCTCGGAAGTGCTCATAGGGATAGGGTGTGCGTGTGTGCGTTCCTAAGGTGAGTGTATGCGTGTATATATAAGCTCTTACGTTTGTACTCTCTCCGCCCGAAAATAAGTGACTCAAGTTTAAGTTTGTACTAATTTTATACTCAAGTTTGTAATAACTTTATACTAAAATTAGTACAAAGTTGATTCATTTATTTTGGGACGGGAAGAATACTGTGTTAAAAAAATGGGCCTACGATTAACACCCTACTGGGCACCTTTCTCGTTCACTGAACATTATTGTTGTGGACGACAATCGCGTTAGCTAGACGACGCCAGTCAAGCAAAGAGCAACCCGTGATTCCGACCGGCCACCAGCAGTCAGCCCGTATGTTTGCCGCGAGAGGACGTGAGAGCGACTCGTCTCTTATCTTAAAGAGAAAGCCCGAGACAGCGAGGCATCCCACACCAAATGAGGGCATCATAGTAGATCTGGATCAGCTACTCTCCGCCTATTCGCCCACTTACTCCCTAAGCTCGGAGCACCATGAGCGACCACACCTTCGACAAGCTTCAACCTATCTACAGGTTAGTCAGGTTAGTCGACGGAGAGCTTCCCTTCGAAAAAGAATTATACATGATGTTTCCCTTCGTCACTTCTTTGGTAATATGATAATCATTAGTTTTTCTTTACACTCATCTGGGGATCACCACCAAGGTATGGCCTCTAGTTCTATGATCTACGCGGGAAAAATATTAGAAGCTAAAGCTGAAGTTTTTTCCTCTCCTGATTGTCCCGCCTCATGACGCACACCGGCGAAATCATCTTTTCTGTATCAAAAACGCAAAATTGGCTCCTAGATCTAACTACCAATATGGCAAATCGACTAGTGCCAGCGATTCGACATCGCCGGCGCGCTCGCCTCGGTGCCCTTTGACTGGTGTATGGAGAAGCAACACCACCGTGCCCTTTTTCTCGCCCCCCCTTTTTTTTATAGCACACTCCAGCTCTAGGTCCAATACGTGGATCCTGGAACAAGAAGGAATAGGGTGAAGCATTGGCCATGCTTATAAAAATCACAGTATATTCACCTCTTCCGTTACTAGAGATCACCCATACTATCATCCATCCTGCAAGCAACATATAGTTGATTCTTTTGTTATATACTCCCTCGGTCCCAAAATAAGTGAAGTACAAAGTTGAGTCACTTATTTTGGGACGGAGAGAGTGTATTTTTAGATGAGTTTTCTTTATTTCTTACAAACTTAGGATCTATGCTGGCATGAACCACAAACGAACGATAGTGATAACATGTAATGTAAAAAATAATTTTGTTATATATTTTGAGGTTCCGTGAGTGAGAGAAGAAGCTAATATAACCTCTTTTTGCCTGTTTTCACGAAAAAGTGCAATATGCCTACAACAGGGTTATAGGTTTAATTTGCTGCATTGGCATGCAATCTCCCTTAGCAAAAGGGGTTAGTGGGAGGTATTTTCCCTTTGACTACATCAAAGCATCTAAGAGCATCTCTAACCGATCCCCTATAATTTAGAGGAGGATACAACCAAGTATTTTTTAACAGAGGATGTGTGCTCCTTTAAAAAAGTGTCGTTTCTAACAGACCCCTTAAATTTAACGGAGTAAAACACAATTTATCAAATTGGTTTAATTTGGGCCACTGAGTTAAACTTCACTACTCATTTATTTTACTGAACAAAACCTTGCTCATATATATCACCAGTTCTTCGCTAAGAGAACGGACCCAAAGAAAACTACAAGAAAAAAAAATACACACTTCAATAGAGACACCACTTCCCTAATTGCTCCTACTGGTCCTATGAAAAATTGCCTACTTTTTTTTTGCTTTTCTCTATTGCCTTCTCGAGCTTGCACTTCTTTCTTCTCCGCCTCCTCAAACCTGGACATTGCGTCCTCTCCATGTCAAACTTCGACATTACCTCCTCTGTAGTCTCATTTCTAGCAAGTAGTGCACCAACATCTAGCAAATTTCTCGCTATCAGTATAATAATGTACTATGATGAATCAGAAGAACAACCGTACAAAATTGCACTCACTCCGTTGTTCTCGCACTTGTAGAAAATCTTCCGAGATGTCAGCATGCTGGAACGTTGACAAGCACCAGCCACCAGCAGTGGTCACACTTGATGACCGACAAAGGCAAGTTGACGAGCTATTAGCTCAGTGCTGAGGTCGGCCGATGGACGGACGTGGTTGTGCTGGTGGTTGGTCCACGGGTGAGATGCGAGCTCCGGGAGGAGGAGAAAATACCAAGAGGCGACACAGAAGGTTGAGGTGGCTGCGTGGTTCGGTCCTGGTCGAATCACACAAAACTACGACGGCACCGACGACTAGGAGCATCAAATCGACGATGGCAGCAACGGACGTAGACCCCATGATTTTGGCGATGTCAACGAGAAGCGGCTGAATAGAGATGGGGGAGAGCATTGTGAGAGGCGTTAGGTGCTAGGGCCCCCTGTGGTGGCGTGTGGTGGCCGGCAGAGGCAAGTAGGGCAGCGCCGAAGTGGATGATGCACGAGGTGGGGAGGGAGCCGCGGGGAGAGGTTTTTTTCACGCCACGGGTGGGTGGCCGATTAGGAGTCGGGGTGGCCGTTGAGAATAAATTTACTCCTATGACCATAATATATAAGAGATCGGTTAGGTCCAGATGAGAGGAGGAAAAGTAACATTTTACTCCTCCAAAGCTTCTTTTTAGGGGATGCTCTAACTATGAACATTTATCAGGTCATGTTGCCAACCATACCAACATAAGAGGCATGTTGGGTCAAGAAAAAAATCATTGGCCCTTGCAGAAGAAGAACACACAAAAAGAAAAGCAAAAAAAAAATCGTCAGCAAATTAGGCTTAGATGAGGCACCAATTTTCCTGGGCATGCCGTCCAAGGTAGCAACCAAAAAAGCCTTAGAGCATCTACAGTCGGGCGCCGCAAAACCAGCCTCAAACAACCGGGCGGACGGCCCAGTCACTGATCGTTCAGAAAAAGCTAACCCAAATAGGCTCCTCGTACTGGCCCTAAACGCCCGGGTTGTTCGGCAACCCTCGGCTAGCCCAAATCGGAGGCATATATGGGAGGGCCGGGCACGACCGAGTGCATCCACCATGTCAGACTGATGTGTGAGGCCCACGTGAAACACTCCAAAACCCAGAGGTGCGAAGGTCGTCTCCTCCATTGGACCGATGGCTTCGCATGTCACCGCTCTGGCGCCTCGCGCAAGGGTCCTAGCCCGGCTATTCAAATAACTGGAAGCCGGCAGCCAAACCCTACCCGTCCATATTTCCTCCCCTCCCTTCCACCACTGCCACTTTCCACTCGCCGTCCGCCTCCACAGTCAATTAGCCATGCCACCACTCCGCCGATTCATGACCTACACCATGCTAACGCCGGAACGCCGGCTGCAACACCTTGAGCAGATCCATGCAAGGCGTGATCGCGGCAGGGCTGGCTCCGGACTCGCCAGAGCCGGAGAGTGGGGAAGGAGGAGGTGGATGAGGATGTGGAGCCGGAGAAGGAGGAGGTGCATCCGGTTGTCGGCTTCGGCATGCCCGAAGCACCGCCAGTGCTAGAGGTGGCCCATGTGACGGAGGCCGCGGAGCAGCAACCACCCTCGAGTCCATCCAGTCGAGGGTGGAGGTGGAGGCCAACTGTCGTATCCCACGCGAGCGGCAAGCAGGCATCGACTAGATGCTCGCCTATATGGATAAGGAGGAGCCGGAGTTTTGAGTTGCCGCATGCGCCCATCTACCCGGCGCTCGGCACGAAGATTGCGGACATCTTCGACGACGAAGAGTAGTGTAGACTAGTTTAAGTGATCTATGTAGTACATAAGTTTTTCTTTTACATGCTTTGTGTGCATTTAAGGTACGATATATGAGGTATTCGGATGCTTAGAAGAAAATATGAGGTGTGACTGTTCACTGCCTGCACACGTGCTCAGACGCTTTCGCAGGCATTTCAGGGACCGGATATGATGTATGCAACTATAGATCCTCTAAGTCTCGACCTGATATGCACCTACATACATTTTTTCAAAATATTTAACTTAACTTAATAGTATTTGTTGTCGGCTGTAATTGTACCTGCTTTTCAAAAATGATCTCTCCTCTATCAAACCAGTGTGAGTTTTTGTTGGTAAATTTCCAAGCCATCCGCTTGGCCTCCTATATCGACCAGTGACCACTAACGGGAACACCAGACCGAAAATTCATAGTTGTGGCCAAGCACCTCGGTGCACTACATCCTGGCCGTTCACATGTGCAGTTGTGCTCGTGATGTGTGCTCTCCCGATATTTTCGGTTGCTGCCCCCTGTATTGCTGCAGCACCCCGTGTATCAAGGCTAGGTAAGCTAGAAGAGGAGGATCTAGCCTTTTACAATACTGTTACCGCCTGGCATGCATGTGACCACATGAAGACAAAGGTACGTGACCACAGCCCCACGGTTGAATGAACTGTACTACTACTAGTCAGCATCATCAGTATAATCACACGTCTGAATAATTTTAAACTAGCTAATCCAGGACAATTATAGTACTCCCTCCATCCCATAATGTAAGACGCTTTTTCGCACTACACCAATGTCAAAAAGCGTCTTACATTATGGGACGAGTACTTTAAATATTTAATTCCTACAGTCATCAAACATTACCTTGAATGTAATCGTTAGTCACCGATGGTAATGTAAGTTCTATCAAAGGAAAAATAGCATTTCAAAGTAGTACTCCAGTCGGCATTTAACTACTTACAACTAACAGGTTCCAGCTGTGGAAGTAATTATCTTTGGATCTTAGTACTATCTACTTTCTCTGTAAACTAATATAAAAATGTTTAGATCACTATTTTAATCGAAGGGAGTATGTTTTTAATCACTAAAGTAACTTAATCAACCTTGCTTAACTCGGCAGACATGTCAACTGCCCCACCCTCGCTAACTATTACCCAGCATCTTGCTGCGAGCAGGATCAAAGAAGGCCCGACCTGCACCTCCCATCTCATTAAACTAGTGCTTAATATCTTGCGAGACGGAACAGTTCTTGCACATATGAAAAATGTGTTTCTACAAAAAACAGTACAGATTATTTGTAGGAGGTTAGTAACCTTCAAATTGGATGACCTAAAAATAATCAATTACTCTGGTATTAAATAACGTTGAACAATTCGAAAGTTATGATTTGATATTGTTTTTAATCCAACGCTAGACTTTCACTTACTATGCTAACTTTTTTTTGCACTACTACGTAATCACATGGCAGAACCAAAATCATTTTTGAAAATGGTCAATGTAATGTGGCCCATTAGCCAAATTGTAACTTGCCATCGTTGGTCAGAGCTTGGACATAAGGTGCTTTTTCCAAAAGAAAAAAAAAACTGTGATCAACAAGGTGCTGGTAAGTGGTAACAGCCAAGATTGTTTGATTTCAAAATAGTCCATCAGTACTACCTCTATAAATAAATATAAGAGTGTTTAGATCACTACTTTAAGGATCTAAATGCTCTTATATTTCTTTACGGAGGGAGTACTAAATAATCAGGACAAAAAATTAAGAATGAATGTTTTATTTATTTTTTATCAAAACCACACACTCGCTATGTTAATGCACTCTCATTTGTGCTAAATCACACGGCAGATTCAGAGTCTTCAAGCAAATGATTAGTCACATGATTGATCAAGAATCACAACCCACCACGCACGAAGTGGACTTCGACGCACAAATGAATTAAATACGAAGGAACTACTTTCTGTCACGTCAATAATTACCATTTCACCAGGGCGGCTCATATGCAAACAACCTAACACGTGTTCCTTTTTCAATCCCAATGGGAGCCTAGACGCTTTCATGCTCCCATGGCATTATAATCATCATTTTATAATCACTCATATAATAGTGTGGCTACTTCCTTCTTTTCGCTTTATAGGGTTTATCTTAAAATTTTAGTTTTTTTGTTTTATAAATCTCAATTTGGTTGTTTTCCGTCACATAATCAGATTTCAAGGTGCTTTAAATTTTTGCATGCAAGTATTAAGAGAAAATTATCCAATGTATGTACTTTATGCATGCATGCATTGCAATTAATGCATTGGTAAACACAATTTTTTTAAGAAAACAAGCGTATTAATTTAGTGCTTTTGCACATTACAAAAATTATTTCACCACTCACCATTTACCTTGGTCGGTGAAGTTTTTGAATTGAGCCCTATAAACTGGAAAGGAGGTAATATTACAGTAGTATTTTTTTTCTATCTTCTCTCTTTCTCTTTCTTCACATTATTGTATTTGCCTTGGAAGGCGCATATAGCCAGACTCTTGCATGAGAGCCCACTTCCCTTACTTTTTCACATCTCTTTTCTCCACATAGGCAAAAGTGACATGTAATCGGGCTATAAGCCCACTATTGTACTTGCTCTGATACAAAGCACCGAGGTGCTCGTCCACTACAAATTCGCACCCACACCTTGCGTGCATGCATAATCGGCTCTGATGCACCGAGGCGTGGGGGCTACTCCCTCCATTGCACAATGTATTGCGCCCGCGCTTCCCGTGATCTAAGTTTGACCATAAATTTAACCAATGAGACCGACCGCGACGAGAGTAAAAATTATATCATTGTACGAATTCAGTGGTATAATTTTTGTTCCGCTGCAGTCGGTCTTGTTGGTTAAATTTATTATGAAGCATAGATCTCGAGAAGCAGAGGCGCACTATATTGTGGAATGGAGGAAGTATCATTCTCTGCTAGTAATGGCATCTTAGTTTTGGCCGTGTTGATCTTATTTTTGCAGAGCCACAATCTGTTCAGCGCAAGTACCAGAACATTTTGATCTCGATGGTGCCACCTCACGTAACCTATTGGCTAATCCAGGACATTCAGGTCAGTAATATTCCATATCCCCTTTTTAGCAAAGGAAAATGGATATTTTACTAGCCCCGTTGACTCTTTTATACTCCCTCAGTCCCAGAATAAGTGTCTAAATTAGTACAAAGTTGTACTAGAGTTGAGACCCTTATTTTATAAGACAAAGGGAGTACATTTTTAATTCGTCTAAATTTGCTCTCAATAAATTTTTCATTTCTTGCGATGGAGATAAGGGGTATTTTGTTACGAGTTCACATATTGCTCGAATATCAGTCAAACATGTGGGGTTTTTGGTCGCCCAGTCAGCTTTGAGGACTAAAAGACCCCACCTAGAGCAATTAGGATGAAAAGATGGATGCCAAGAAACTAAGAATAAAAAATCTAGGTAGTGGCATGAGTCATGACACGATCGCTGTACAAGACCGTTTGGCCTCAAATTCGTTTTGTGACATCAGAACTGATTCTGATTATGTGTTCTTCTATTGAGATGACACATAATTAAATAAGAAAAAATTGAGTACCATGATATGATACAATATCATATTAAATGGTATAATATATGTCAAGGTAATAAATAAGCTCACTCTGATACCAATCTAATACTCCCTCCGTCTAAGTGTTTAAGTCACCTTACGAAAACCAAATAATTCCAAAACACTTAGGCACGGTACATTAACTTTCTCCTCGTTTTTTGTTTTGTGACATATCAACCAATAAGAGATGTAGGCCGTGCATGTTTTCAATGACTTGAGACTACCAAACATAATATGCCGTGGTTAATTCATTGCATGCAATGCTATTAACTAGCAAAATAACATTAAGTTCTCTCATTTTCCCCTCTGTCTTGGTTGCGATGCATAACCTAAGATGACTTATACACCTAGACGGAGGAAGTACTGTACTTCCTCCGTCCGAAAAATTTTGTCCCTCAAATGGTTCAAATGAATGTATCTAGCACTGACTTGATGTTAAATGCATTCATTCGAAGGACAAACTTTTTCAAACGAAGAAAGTATTATGCATTATAAATATAGTATAATACACATTAGTATCATATGCATGATGTCGTACATTAGCAAATGCAGTAATACTTTTCACTGTGACCTGACCTAGAATGATACTATCTGCTTGGTAGCAGCACTCGGATCCATCTTTCTCGTGGTTCTAGAAATGATTGTGATTCGCTGAGCCTATGACCACACGTCATGCATCATGTTAATCATTGGGTTTGTGTCGGTGGATTACCCGTGAGAGCCAACTGTCATGTTTGTCTTGTTAAGCATGCATTTCCACAGGCCAGTCACAGAGTTGGGTATTTCTTTGCTGGCAAATGGGGAAAAAGAGAAGAAACAAGCTGTCCATTTGAAGGAAAGAAAAGTAATACGAGCAGTCTTTTCTGGCTCTCTGGTCCAATAAACGCTGAGTGAGAGGTTGTATTAGGGCAGTTTCACTATATGTCTGTTTTTATATTCGGACGTGGTCGGTGGACATGATACGAGAGAGAGTCACTGAACCCTTTTCACAAATTAGTCCTTATTTGTTCGTTATGAGAGGGGGGGGGGGGCATCTGCGGAGAGAGAAATGAGAGGAAGACCACGTGGAGGCTTTTGGCTGGTCAAGTGGATGTCCGAACTCCGGTAAAAACTCGCTCATGTTTCTCTCGGATTTGCTAGAAAATGGACGTCTGGTCCATTCGCGGACCGATCAAGGTCCCATTAGATTGCGAAAAGTGAACAAAAATATATGATCGAACGTAAAACAGAACTTTGAGGGTTTCCCTTAGAGATGCCCTTATAGCATGTACAACCGAGCGTCCCAAAGCCTGCTCATACGTTCGGGCAGCCCGCACGGTCACGGAATTTTGACCCAGAGGGACGCCTCAAACGGGTCTCAAACGCTCGGCCTGACCGGAACCCTTCATATCCAGCCCAAATATGAGGCGGATATGGGGGCCCCCGATCACGCACGCCACGTCAGGCCCGACCCATGCTGGCCCACCTGACCCGACATATATTCGTCCCTATCCGCTCACCAGACCAAACCTTAGCCACTTCATTCCACTCCCCTCCGTCACTCGAGCTCACCTCCGTCGGTCTCCGGCATGGCGGGCAGTAGATCCGAGTCCTTTACCTCCAGATCCGTCGAACCCGAGCTCAGCCCACGCGGCCCTGAGGAGGAGATGGCTGTCTAGCTTGCGCTCCGCCGCTCCCGCGAGGTGGCCCGTGCATGGCAATGCTCGGACGCCATCCGTCAGGAGAATCCATTGCGTCCGCCAAAATGGCACATGGATTCGGCGCTAGGTGTGTCGTCGCTGCCTCACCGGAGGCGGTGCAGTCTCTGACATATTTTTTTGGAATTTTTTGAAATGTAAAAATACGAATTTAAATGAATTTTCAATTTTGCATTTCGAGGTTTGCATCGAGCTCTGTCACCAAAAGCAATTTCTGAGTGGGGATGAACTATTTAGGTATTAGACTACCCATAGTGGGAAGTAACATAGAATATTAACATGCATATGTTACTAGTGTTTACTATATGTTACTACTACCCCCGTCTGGGTTAATTGAGCCCCTTCGTATTTTGGGCCAGAGTTTGACTATCTATAGACTATTAAAATATAAAGTATATGCTATAAAATTTTACTGCTGTTGGATTTGTATTTGAAAGAGCTATCCGACAATATAATTTTTTTTTGACATATAGTTTATATTTTGTTAGTTAAAGTTTTAGGTCAAACTTTAGCCCGAAATAAAAGAGGCCTAAAAAACCCGGACTGAGGTTGTACCTCTATAGCAGGGAATAAGATATGTGTGGTGCCATGTAACACTTTACTTATTAATTTGTAGACTCATCTTCTCTTAATATGTGTGATGTTACCCATAGTGTGAGTAACTAGCTATGTTCTCAAATCATCTCTCTCCGCATTAAATCATTGCCACATAAAGCAAAAATTTGCTGAGTTGGTTCCAATGTTATTGTTGAAGTTACTCCCACTATGGATAATCTTATAGATTCATGTTGTAAAGCTGGACATAGTGGAGAGTATCATATACTAGTATCATGCATATGATACTAGTGTATGATATTATATCCATAGTGCATAGTATCATATATTAGTATCATAAGTGGTCTAATTTATTGCCATGCATGACACATAGTAGCATAACATTTATTATGATACGGTATATACTTATGTTACTATAGTTCTTTCTCTTCTTTAATTGCCTGCCACATAAGTATGTTTGCGAGACCAAGTGCGTGATAGTACTAGTTATGTTAGGTTGGCCATAGTGGGAGTAACATAAGTAGTATCATGCACTTGGGACTCGCAAACATGCTTATGTGGCAAGCAATTAAAGAAGAAAGAGATGGTTATAGTAACATAGATAGATATCGTAACATAATAAATATGATACTACTATGTGTCATGCATGTGAATAAATGAGACCATCTATGATACTATGCACTATAGAGGTAGTAACATAGTCTAGTAACATATGCATGTTACTAGTCTAAGTTACTCCCCACTATGACTAGCCTTACTCCACTATGGCAGCCTAAAGTGCGCTTCTCTCAAACTAATATGCTAGCCTACGGCGTTTGTCCTTTTAGTCGTCGTCAAGGTCCATGTTCATTAAATATATTGATCTTAATAACGTGAAAAGGAACAAATGCCAAAAAAAGGGTCCATGTTAATTAATGAGACAATGGAAGATCGTTTGCCTCTTTCTTTTTTTCTAAAAACAAAAGACATTCAGAAAGCAGTGAAACTTACAATTGTGTATTGGTCCAAGTTTCGTCAGGAAACAATAGCGACGAGCATGCAGATGGAGGACATTTTAAGATACTTTTGGAACTGTTGGGCGGTGCGGGCGATCCGATGTCAAAGCAGCAGCCAACTATCTATGTGGTCCCCAAGGAACTTACGAAGAAGCTGGATTATAATCCCCAAGGAGAACATATGCCTGTTGCTGTTTGTCTGGGCAGGCCTTACGGTTCTCCGGGAACTCAGCGGATGGAAAATTACAAATGGCGCTGTGTAGGACAGCTCATCAGGCGGCAGAGGCGCTGCCCCCTCTTGGAGCCTGAGAGGACTGCGGTGCTACTGGACGGATGTTTGACGAGCATGGAAGGCCTCCTGCCTCGAATTCGAGCATCCTACTCTGAGGACACCTTGATGAATATGGTCGGCTACCCGGACAAGGATGTTGCCGACCTTATGTTAAAAGACGGCTGCTTCATCCTACACCGCTTGCTCAAGTACGCGATCCGCGCTAAGATGGAAGAAGCTGGTGGCAGCAGTGATCAGTTTGTGGACACTGACGAGGACTGGGCTCAGGTTTACGGCAGGTGCTTTGTGTGGCAGCTTGTGACGCGGGACCTGCTGCTGCTTGAGAACCAGATCCCGTTCTTCGTGATTCAAGAGCTCTTTCAGCAGCTGATGAACGAGGACGAGCACGAGGAGCTCCTGGTGACCGGCAGCCTCAGGCTTTTCCGCTCTCTTCGTCCCCAGATGCTGCAGCGCTGGTCCATTGAATGCGACCAGGTGCACCACCTGCTACACCTCTTCTACCTCTCGGTCGGCTTCCCGCCCAACCACCGCCCGCAGCATTCCGGCCCGCGCCGAGCCGACCATCTGCTGTCTGAGATCCCGCAGTGGATCCCGTGCGCAAAGGAGCTGGAGGAGGCTGGGGTTCGGTTCCGCAAGAGGGAGAATGCCACGAGCTTCCTGAACGTTACCTTCTCCCTGGCCCGGGGCATCCTGGAGATCCCGCAGCTGGAGCTCAACGACTCGAGCGAGTCGCTGTTCCGGAACCTGATCGCGTTCGAGCAGACCTACCCGGACACCCCGCGAGATGTCTCCACTTACGCCGTTTTCATGGACTGCCTCATCACTTCGGCGGAGGACATGAGGATCCTCGAACTGCACGGCGTCCTCGTCAGCCACCTCAGCAGCAGGAGGGTCGCCTGGCAATTCTTCAGCGACGTCGTCGGGAGGGTGCACTGGTCGACAAACAACTACCTGGTCGGTCTGATGGACGACGTGAACAGGTACAGGGAGCGCAGGCGGCACAAGTGGCGCATGGAGCTTGTGCGCAACTACTTCAGCAACCCTTGGGTGGCCATGTCGGTCTTCGCAGCTCTGCTCCTGCTCGCCATGTCCGTGCTGCAGACCTTCTTCGCTGTCTATGCCTACTTCAAGCCTCCCAAGTAAGCGGTAAGCTAGCAAGTAAAATATGTCGGGCCTGAGAACACCTCAGGTGCGTTCTGCTTCCAATAAAACTAGGCCATGCATTGGGAGATCATACACTGTTTCTTGTTACTCTCTAACCATGGACCGTCCATGATTTGTGTAACTAGCAGGGTGATCCGCGCATTTGCGCGGCTAGAATTTCCCTATTCTCATATTGTAGTGTTGTGTTCTCTCTACCTATCTCCTTTTGTTTCATATGTTGCTACACCTGTATTTATACAAAAGATTTCATGTGTGATGACGAAACACCAAAATAATCTGGTTATTGATATTGACACAATAAACCAAAAGAATCTGGTTATTTATAGAAAAGGACGCCATGTTAGCATCGACATATCATTAAGACCTCTAGAAAATGATTTTAGTTGGATGTATTACTCCCTCCGTTCCTAAATATAAGTTTTTTTAAAGATTTCAAAAAAGACTACATACTGAGCAAAATGAGTGAATCTATTTGATTTTAGTTATAACCACAAAGAAAGTGATCAACCATGATTAATTGTGCATACATAGATTTTAGGATAGAATTAAAATATTGGTTTGCTTCTCTATTATTTGCGCGACCCCATTGTATCAAGCTCTGTTGCCGTGTATGGGTTTTTTGATGAGCTTCAATTATTGGTTGGCTTTGCTGAGTTTGTATGTCCATCCATTAGACACATGTAAATCTATGTGGATATAACTCGTCTCGTGCATGCCTATGTAGTTATGCGTCAAGAGGCTGAATATGGTAGTGTGTACTTTTGTAATTGAGTAACTGGAATTGAATCTTCAGAAGGTCAAAGAATGTATTAGTACCTAGGAATAGAGGTTATCTGGCAAAGAGGCCAAGTTGAACGCGATCAAGATAAGCTAGTGTGAAGAGTAGGTGCGTTGGCAGCAGCACCCCGCAGCAGCAGCAGCAGCGTGGTACTATCTCCGTCCTAGTTTACTTGTCCTTAGCTCCGATAGCACAACGTGTGATTAGTTCTAGCCAAACCGGTTTCCTTAAACAATGTAACATCCTAGAGGGACCCATTGCGTTTCAAGAAATAGTTCAGGAGCTAAAACATACCAAGGCACAGGGCGTATTACTTAAGTTAGATTTCGAGAAAGCTTATGACCGCGTGAATTGGGAGTTCGTGCAAGAGGTCCTTCTCAAAAAGGGCTTCGAGGCGGGATTTGTACACCGCATCATGCATCTCGTGTGTGTAGTGGGCACACGGCGGTTACCATCAATGGTACAATGAGCAAATTCTTCCGCAACAAACGTGGCCTCTGGCAGGGAGACCCGAGCTCGCCGCTTATTTTTAATTTTGTTGCGGATGCCCTTGCGGCCATGATCAACAAAGCAAGAGCTGCGGGACACATTAAAGGGCTCGTCTCCCACCTAATCCCATGCGGGGTTACTCACCTGCAATACGCGGGCGATACGATGCTACGGTTCGAGCCCGATGTTCATAGTATCACATCGATCAAGTTATTGCTTCTCGCTTTTGAGTTCTTGTCGGGGCTGAAGATCAATTTCCTTAAGAGCGAAGTGATCACCATTGGGATGATTGATCAAGAAAGCACCCGGATCGCCAACCTTCTTAATTGCAAGCTTGGGGGCTTCCCGATTAAGTACCTTGGCCTTCCGATCTCGCATAAGAAACTTACCATAGCAGAATGGGAGCCACTATATGGCAAAGTGGCCAACCGTGTGAGTCCTTGGAGGGGTAGGTTTATGTCTTCGGTAGCTAGGTTGATCCTCACCAATTCGAGCCTGTCCTTTCTTCCAATCATTACAATGGGGATGTTCCTTCTCGCGGATGGAGTCCACACTAGGCTTGATACTCCGTGCTCTCGGTTCTTTTGGGAAGGAACCGGGACCAAACGCAAAGACCACTTGGTGAAATGGGTTGTGGTGTGCAGACCAAAAAAATTCGGAGGCTTGGGCATTACAAACTCTAAGCTCATGAATGTAGCCTCGCTCACCAAGTGGTGGTGGTGCCTTTCCCAACACGAGTCGGGACTCTGGGCAGACATCCTCCGGGTGAAATACTCCCCGGATGGAAATTTGTTCAAGGCAAAACCCAACAGCTCGGCGTTTTGGAATGGGATCCAAGCGGTGAGACCGACTTTCTCAGTTGGGGCTCAGTTCAGCATTAATAACGGCATGTCCACGAGGTTTTGGCTCTATTGTTGGTGGGGCCAATCACCATTGTGGCAATCTCATCCGAAGCTATACCAACTTGCCACGGACACCAACATTATGGTGGCCGACGCCCTGAGAGTCCACCCCCCCGGCGATTTCTTTCATTCGGCCGCTAGAGGCAGTGGAGGCTGCTAGTTGGGCCGCGCTGGTGACTGACCTCGACGGTCGGAATCTTAGCCAAGGGACTGACACTATTTCATGGAAGCTTACCTCCTCCCAAAAGTTTACGGTTAAGTCCCTATATGATAAGTTGACTGAGGGCACCGCGCTAGACATGGCTAGGGGGCTATATATGGAAGGCCGGTATCCCCCTCAAGATCAAAATCTTTATGTGGCAAATGTTCCGCAACCGTCTACCTACCTCGGATAACGTGGCCAAACGAAACGGGCCGGCAGACGGAACATGTGCCATTTGCGGTTTAGGGGAAAACACAAATCACGTGTTCTTCGGTTGTTTTCTTGCTAGATTTGCGTGGAGCGTGGTTAGGGATTCGTTCAAGCAAAATTGGAACCCTCAGTCTAGCGATGACCTGCTTACCTTGCTTTCGGCACAGAGGGGGGCCAATGCAAGGGTAGTCTGGCGATGCGTAGGGGCGTTGCTTTGGTCTCTTTGGTCGGTCCGGAAAAAAATTACGATAGAACACAAGTTCCCGGCCCACCCAGCTGATATTATCTACAAATGTCACATTTTCTTACAGGCTTGGGCGCCATTGGGGAAGACGCGTGACGCGGACCGCATGAACGGGATTATGGAGCAGATCAAGCAGACTATGGTGAAGGCGCGACAAGGAGATGTGACAGCTTGAGTCTTTTGCGTTGAACTTTATGCTATGCTCCACTTTTGTGATCGTAAACTGCTTGCTGCTTTATCTTAGCTTATTCCGGGACTTGGGGCTCGATGATCTTATGACTTCTTTGGTTTATAAGGTTTAAACTATGTGTGGATGCTGCCTTATGGCTTTATTAATTTAAAACCGAACGGTTCTAGCGTCTACGTTCCAAAAAAAAAGTTTACTAGTCCTCCTCATAATCTGGGTCATATTTTAACCATGATTTTAACTAATAATTAACTAATAAAATATATGTTATATGTAAAAAAATTATATCGTTGCAAACTACATTCAAATACGAATCAAACAATATAATTTTCAGTGTCATGCATTAATATTTTGCTAGTCAAATACATGGTCAAATTTTGACCCAAAATACAATGAAGACTAATAAAGCAGAACGGAGGTAGTACTACATTGACGAACTTAAACTTGAAAAGCATCGTTGAGATGTGCGTGCATCCGTCGGCTCTCGTGCCGGCACCACCATCAAGTCGACAGGATGCTGGCTGCTGGGTGCAATTTTTTTTTGGGCAGAAGCCAAAACAAACATTGTCTTGTTTTTTGTACTACATGGGCCAAAGCTAGGCTTACGGCTAGGGCTGCCTGGAGGGTAGGTCTGCCTATGCAATCATATGCTTCTTCTTTGTAATGCATAATACACGTGTTGGTTTTGTACGCGTCAATGTTAGACTCAATTTTACGTGCTAATGTTTGACTTACTTTTTTCTGTGGAGGAAATGCTCAACTTAATTGTAGGTCATTGATATCGTGTGTAGCTTTCTCATCATTTAATCTCAGCCGCTATAACTATAATCAACAGATAATATATTTTTAACCTATGTGAATAAGTCTGGTGCCTTGTGTGATACTTGCACCCTAGTATAGTACCTAGACTTATCTTCTGTTTCTTCATCCGCCTAATCACACTTCATGTTCCATTAGGTAGGATATTTAAATTTAGAGAACATCTTCTAATCAAATTACATTATGCGTCAAAATCTGGCATTACCTCTTTCTTCTACATTTTTTTCCTATGAAGAGAGCTCCGATGTTCCACTTCTTTTTCATTGAGTAGATTTATGCATTCTATGCACATTTATATAGCTGAAATTGTAATGTGATATCTGTTGTTTTAGTTATAAAATTCATCTCATAATATGTTCCTTTTTGTAAATAATAATTTGCCACGGTATAATAAAATTCAATTTAGCTTTTATAACCCCTGCATAATAAAAATAATTTATTTCCTTTATCACTGACTTTGGCCAAAAATCTCGTGGTCCAATGCTTCAAGCTGTACGTATAAATATGTCAAAAAAGACCTTATTTTCTAGGATATACTCCCTTCGTTTCTAAATATAAGCTCTTTTTGGAGATTTTAATATGGACTACATACGAATGTATATAGATGTATTTTAGAGTGTAGATCCACACATTTTGCTTCATATATAGTTCATATTGAGATCACCAAAAAGACTTATATTCAGGAACGGGGGGAGTAGATGTTTAAAAAAAGACTGGTCTCTACCATACAACGCTGCGAGTGTTTCTTAGAATTGATGCATTATCCCTCTCGTCTATTTAGCATAGTTATTTTATTGGAATTGGACTCTCTTAATTAAGTCTCTTTTTAGGCTGTCTTGATAGTTAGAACTGTTGTGTTTGTGTCGAATATTTTGTACTAGTTGGGTTATGCTTGGACTTGGTGTTGTAGTGTGGGTAGGATACGTGTAGTGTCGGAGTCGGACACGTTGTACCCTTGGCCTCTTATATATGAGGAGGCACCCCACGTTGTAACCCATGACAACTAGATAGCGACAGGTTCGCAAGGGGGTGCTGGTGGCTTGTGCCGGCGCCCGGGTGGCCGGTGTTGCGGTATCTCGGGGAGGAGCGCCCGTAGTCATTGCCTGGGGAGTAGGCGAGTTCGCCGAACCTCGTTAACAAATCTCGGT